AATCCCCTTCCCTGTAGTGACCTTGTAATGATATTATTTTATCATTTATATAGCGCCAGCAAATTCCGTAGCACTGTACAATGGGATAAACAACTCCTAGTTTACGGAATAAAAATATACCCAGCGAGTAACAATGATATCCCCCCCAGATTTTTTGGGGTTCCTACGCCCATGTTCATGGCCCATTCGGAAGCTCAGTTCACCAGTGAGCTACTTCTTCCTTCTGCTACGAGGCTTGCATACCACTGTTGCCAACACTTGTAGCGAGCATCCCACCACTGCCACAACTAGGTATCTCCATTGAATCCTTCTCAAAGCTAGAAGAAGCAATGGTCAGTGAATATAACTCTCCCTCCCTCCCGGTAACTAGACTACACATAGTTCTGGGAGTACAACTGTTTTTATTCAGCCAAACTCAGCCTTTTATGCACGGACCCGAGTATGGGGTCTTCACTGTCTTGTATATAGTGCCACCCAGGTGTCTCTGTGTCCGGGAGATAATTAAGTCACTTACCGGTAAACTAATTATCTCCCAAATGCAGAGAGCCAAACATAAAACAAAAACATAAAACACTCCAAATTACAATCAAAACACACAGGAAACCCCACATGTCTTATATCCCCGGATTGCTCTTGTCAGGGTGCCCAAGTTGGCAAAATAGTGCCTGGATCCAAAATTAATTGTCTGATTGCCACCGAGGTAAAGATTGACTGGCCGCACACGAGGACTAATCCCAAAACAGTTCCAGCGCATGGTGTCAAACAGCGGAGCGTGTTAGTCAGCAATATGTCAGTCAGTTCTTGAATTTCAGGCATTGGAAGCAGGTAAAATGAGCAAGAGAAAAGAAATGAGTGACTTTGACAAGGGCCAAAGAGTGATGGCTAGATGACTGGGTGATAGTTTCTCTAAAACAACAAATCTTGTGGGGTGTTCATGGTATGCAGTGGTTAGTGTCTACCAAAAGTGATGCAAAGAAGGACAACAGGTGAACCGGTGTCAGGGTCATGGGTACCCAAGGCTGATTGATGCATGTGGGGAAAGAGGGCTATCCATCTGGTCTGATCACACTGAGGAGCTCAAATTGCTGAAAACTTAAAAATGGCCATGTTAAAAGATGTAGTCACAGACTGGTCAGAGTGCCCATGATGACCTCTGTCCTCTACCGAAAGAACCTTTACTATGGATGTAAGCATCAGAACTGGACCATGGAGCAAGGGGAAAAATGTTGCCTATTATGATGAATAAAATTTTCTTTTAGATTAGGTGGATGGCCACGTGCATGCACATCATTTACATTGGGAGGAGATGGCAACAGGATGCACTATGGGAAGAATGCATGCTGGTGGATTTTAGTTTTGGGCAATGTTCTGCAGGGAAATGTGGGTCCTGGCATTTATATGAATGTTACTTTGATACTTACCACCTACCTGGATATTGTTTAAGACCACGCGCACCCATTAATGACTATGGTGTTTGCTAATAGCAGTGAATTCTTTCAGAAGGATAATGCCCGCTGCCACTCTGCAAAAATTGTTCAGGAATTGTTTGAGAAATATGACAAGGACTTGGTCTCCTAATTCCCCAGTTCTAATCCAATTGAGTATCTAAGGGATTTGCTGGAACAATAAATCCGATCCATGGAGGCCCCACCTCGCAAATTGCAGGACTTGCAGGTCCATGCCTCAATGCATCAGAGTTGCTTTGGCAGCACGAAGGGACCTACACAATATTAGGCAGGTGGTTTTAATGTTGTGACTAAACAGACTATATATATATATATATATATATATATATACAGTTGCAAGAAAAAGTATGTGAACCCTTTGGAATGATATGGATTTCTGCACAAATTGGTCATAAAATGTGATCTGATCATCAAGTCACAACAATAGACAATCACAGTCTGCTTAAACTAATAACACACAAAGAATGAAATGTTGCCATGTTTTTTATTGAACACACCATGTAAACATTCACAGTCCAGGTGGAAAAAGTATGTGAACCCTTGGATTTAATAACTGGTTGAACCTCCTTTGGCAGCAATAACTTCAACCAAGCATTTCCTGTAGTTGCAGATCAGGCGTGCACAACGGTCAGGAGTAATTCTTGACCATTCCTCTTTACAGAACTGTTTCAGTTGGGCAATATTCTCGGGATGTCTGGTGTGAATCGCTTTCTTGAGGTTATGCCACAGCATCTCAATCGGGTTGAGGTCAGGACACTGACTGGGCCAATTCAGAAGGCGTATTTTCTTCTGTTTAAGCCATTCTGTTGTTGATTTACTTCTATGCTTTGGGTCATTGTCCTGTTGCAACACCCATCTTCTGTTGAGCTTCAGCTGGTAGACAGATGGCCTTAAGTTCTCCTGCAAAATGTCTTGATAAACTTGGGAATTCATTTTTCCTTCGATGATAGCAATCCGTCCAGGCCCTGACGCAGCAAAGCAGCCCCAAACCATGATGCCCCCACCACCATACTTCACAGTTGGGATGAGGTTTTGATGTTGGTGTGCTGTGCCTTTTTTTCACCACACATAGTGTTGTGTGTTTCTTCCAAACAACTCAACTTTGGTTTCATCTGTCCACGGAATATTTTGCCAGTACTGCTGTGGAACATCCAGGTGCTCTTGTGCAAACTGTAAATGTGCAGCAATGTTTTGTTTGGACAGCAGTGGCTTCCTCTGTGGTATCCTCTCATGAAATCCATTCTTGTTTAGTGTTTTACGTATTGTAGATTCACTAACAGGGATGTTAGCATTTGCCAGTGACTTTTGTAAGTCTTTAGCTGACACTCTAGGATTCTTCTTCACCTCATTGAGCAGTCTGCGCTGTGCTCTTGCAGTCATCTTTACAGGACGGCCACTCCTAGGGAGAGTAGCAGCAGTGCTGAACTTTCTCCATTTATTGACAATTTGTCTTACCGTGGACTGATAAACAGCAAGGCTTTTGGAGATACTTTTATAACCCTTTCCATCTTTATGCAAGTCAAAAATTCTTAATCGTAGGTCTTCTGAGAGCTCTTTTGTGCGAGGCATCATTCACATCAGACAATGCTTCTTGTGAAAAGCAAACCCAGAACTGGTGTGTGTTTTTTATAGGGCAGCTGTAACCAACAACTCCAATCTCATCTCATTGATTTGACTCCAGTTGGCTGACATCTCACTCCAATTAGCTATTGGAGATGTCATTAGTCTAGAGGTTCACATACTTTTTCCACCTGCACTGTGAATGTTTACATAGTGTGTTCAATAAAAACATGGCAAGATTTCATTATTTGTGTGTTATTCGTTTAAGCAGACTGTGATTGTCTATTGTTGTGACTTAGATGATGATCAGATCACATTTTATGACCAATTTGTGCAGAAATCCATATCATTCCAAAGGGTTCACATACTTTTTCTTGCAACTGTATATATATCTCATATTTAATTGAAAATAATATTTTTCATCTTTTCTGTTTGTTTTCTTTGTGCTTACTGCCAGGTGCAAAAGACAGACTAACGTGGAGCTAAAATGATGTTAAGAGCCTGATTAGTCATTAGGTAACTAAGGTGACCACCTATGGCCCAGGCTCAGACCTACAGTATATTATGTTTATTTATTTTGTAGTAGCTTTGTGTGGCAGGTAAAATTAACAGTAAGGAAATATGTAGTTGTAATGACTGGTAAAAATATTGGAAAAGTGATAAAACAGTTGGTTATGCATATATCAGTGTACAAAATATTTAATGGGTTGATGAAAGAAACTGGTCAAAAACTAAAAAGCCTATTCACTAATAATTAAGTAAAATCATTGGAGGAATATAGATTTTACTTACCTCTACCTCCAATAAAGGAATACTCCTTTGATTTTTTTAAACAGTTTATTACCCCCAAAGAAAAAATGCATGTACATTTGTCTCTATGTTTTCGTTGTGGGTATATGAAAACAAACAGCTTACAAACAGTTTACATACTGACTATGCTCAAAGATCATCCTTTAAAGCAGGCCTTTCCAACCTGCGGCCCCCCAGATGTTGCTGAACTACAACTCCCATGATTCTTTCAATGAAACAGATAGCCAGGGAATCATGGGAGTTGTAGTTCAGCAATATCTGGGGGACCGCAGGTTGGACAGCCCTGCTTTAAAGCTTACACCTCATTGGCTTCTGACCTTGTTTCTGGAACTCTTGCTCTATGCTTATGGACCACTTCTTCATACTTAGACATTGTTGGCTCCCTAACTCGGCCCCACCATATTGACTACTTTTACAGATTACCCTGAGCTTATCCTATTTCTTCTAAAGATTCATGCAGAACCTGCTCTGTATTTAGACTTGTCATTATCAATCTCCCCATGTATTCTGAACCTCCAAATGCAAGTTATGATAAACCCCAACTCTCACTTGTTCTTCATACTCATACTAACAGACTGCACATTCTGTTCACCACTTAGAAAGAGCTACACCAGTCTGCCGCCATGTGACCTTCTGCTGTATATTTCTAAAGCTGGTTTACATTATACTCCTGCTCAGTAAAAAACGGTGGAGGGTAATACTTTATATATTGTATATATTGTTTTCTGTTCTCATAATATTGCTGAAACCTTGGTTGTTCCATTGTTTATGGATTTAAATATCAATATAATTCCATTGTGTATGGGGTTAAATGTCAATCTATATTATAAAGTAAAGTTATTGTGTCCTCCCATCATTGGTAAATATCACACCGTCACCACCAGGAACCATGACAAACAATTTCTATTGAAAGCACTTCAGTCACATAAAGCACTTCAGTATTTTATGTGTGAGAAGTGTTCCTTTAAGAAAGAAAAGCTGATAGGACATGGGAAGGACCGTAAGAAATAAATCATTTAAGTAAAGAATTTTTGGAAACTAAAGACTTTTGTGAAGAATGGCACAACAGCAATTCAATTAGTAATGTAACTGAACCTATAATTCTTTATAGCTTATATTTTATTAATGCAAACCCAGGATTATTTGCCATAGGCTATTAAAAAAATGCAAAATGAGGGAGCCTCCCAAGCAAACACCCAGAACATAGCTCAGCTTCAACAGGCCATACATGATATGCAGCAGCAGCACTTGATGCATGAGCGCTGCTTTGTGGCTCAAGAGGACACCCGGCGGAGAAATAATCTGAAGATCAGAGGGGTCCTGGAGGAAATCCCTGAGGTAAAATTGCCACATTTCACAAGACGCTTGTTCCAGACGACTTTGGCTCCATGGCGATTGAACTGTATGTATGTGATCTGAGCACCATCCGGTAATAATGTGCGCTCAGATCTAAGCTATCTGGGGATAGGTTGAATATGTATGTTTTATGTGAATATGATGCATATTTTTAAAGTTACAGTATATGTGTAAAAAGTGTATTTTTCCTGCCTGTGATAAATTACATTAACCCATTGTGTTCAGTAATTATATCACAGGCAGAGGGGAGGGATGTATGTTTGTGCTGGGTGTGTTTTACGGTTCTCCTGTAAATGATTGGTTGTACTGTGTCCCACCCTGTGGGATGTCCCCTTGCATGGGGACTTGCATAAAAGCCAGTGTGTGGCCATTACAGTGATGTTCCTGCTTAACCCTCAAAGTGAAGTGTTGTCTCATTATTGGGGGGAGGATTTATTGTATGCTGTTCCAGTTTGACTGCTAGGAGTGTAAGCCTATTCGCATGGTTTTTCCTATTCGGCTGTATACAACATTCATATGCTTAAAAGTACTCATATACTTCTCCGGTTCGGTGATTGTGGTGCCTGCCAGAGTGCTTGGAGTCCTCAGGAAACGCTAGGAGCATCCTTTAACGGAGGTACCCAGTCGATCGTTACACTATGCACAAAGTAAAATAAAAAATAATTATTTTTTTTAATGCAAAATGGAGGCTAAATAGCTGGTCTGGAATCTTAACACTCCTCTACGGGCACAACTTAAGCCCTAGTCTTGCCATTTGGGTTTTATTTTGAAGTTAAGTGCATGACCCTAATACAGTAGTATAGAGAAAAGCTGTTTTGACAAAGTCCATTTTGGAAACCAAATACAAACATGAGCATTAAATAACCAATAGTGTTTTTCAAATCAGTAGTTAATGAATATCATTTGTACGGCCATTAATAAGTGACTCTAGGGAACCTCCTTACTAAAGGATGGGAGTTAATTATCCTAATGCAGATGCAGCATACATACTCTCAAATTAGGTCTCCAGTGAGACTCAAAATATGAATAGTCAACAGCTGTTTCATGCTGATTTGACACTTTGCTAAAATTTAGTACAGATAATAAATGTTTAGGGGATACAAATTTGCATATACCATAGATAATCCTTAATAGGTACCACGCCTAAAATAATCTCCTTCTTGTACACATTTAATTTACTCTTACACAGAGTGAAACTAAACTTTAGTAGAAAAATAAAGAGTTGCACATAAAATACAGTTAACACAATAAGAATAATCAAATTTCTTGATGCAGGGATATACATCCAGTTCTGTTCAACTAATATTACGATAAAAAGGTTGAAGCAAATAGTTCTCTAAGTTAAACCTATATATATATTGATTTTAATATTTTACGCACTGTAATCCCCATCGTATTGGTTTACAATTTTTTGAAAATGTTGTGATTATTAAATAATTTGGTTTTGTCCAAGTCTAAAAACCCCTCTGGAATTTCATGAACATTTCTAAGATTCCCTGAAAAGTAGGCATGGAACCCCTGTCTTCTGTAAATGGAGGACTATTAGAGCTTGAAAGCGTACAAAATCAACCTTGGTATGGTTTAAAGGAACACTATAGGTTCAGGAACACAAACACGTATTCCTGACCCTAGAGTGTTAAAAGCACCATCTACCCCTGTGCCCCCTCCCCCTCTGTCCTCCTAAATATAGAAAAATGTTACCTTTATTGCAGTCTGCTGCTGCTGGCTCTGCCCTGATCTGCCTGCTTGGCTGAAATCATCAGAAGTTGTGCTCTGTGCCAAGCACAATGCCTTCACATTGGATTGGCTGAGCTTGTCAAGGAGGCAGAGCCCTGGCCAGTCAGCATCTCTTCATGCATCTCTGTGAGGAAATTAGAGTGTCTCCATGAAGAGGGTGGAGACATTGAATGTCAGTGCTGCAGCACTGCCCCAGAAAGCACATATAGAATGGAATGCTAGGAGCAATGTAACCCCTTCACTACCAAGCTTTTTTTGTAAATACAAAAACAAATTGCATCATTGCAGCATTACATCATTTGCATAAAACACTAGCACATAAATATACGATAACACAGCAATTCACAACCAAACATTTTATTTCAAGTTCTATATGCCAGTTATGTATCCCATGTTTAAATGATATGCTTACTAATAATGCACTGACTATACAACATAAAAGAACATTAGATGTAAACCTTACCATAAAATCAATTATATTAGTTTCAACAAAGAAAGTCCTATGTAATCATTAAGTTACTGCTTTAGGCATAGTTTAAGTTAGCAATCAGCATTCCATTTGTTTTTTGTTTGCTTTTTTCCCCTTCTGGTAAGCCATAAAGTTAGATCAGAGTAGTGGGTTCAGAAATGTCTCATCTTATATACAGAAGAGAAAACTTATGATCGATTGGGAAAATTCAATACATAATTTTGAATGAAAATGTGTTCCTCGGCAGTGTGGATACATGGCGACATAGAAAATCATTCTGTATACATTTAAACATCATAGGGTCAGGAATACCAACGTGTATTCCAGACAGCAAAACAAAATGGAGTAAAAGATGCACCAAAATCAAATGGTGAAAACAATAAAATAGACTCTAAAAGACACAAACAGGTAGTCCAATAATGTACCAGATGTGGTATAGAGTCCCAGACAATGACCTTTTGTCCTTTTCTTTTCACAGTTCTCTTTTATTGGATATTTGATTGTAGCCTCTCTTCATAAACACTGCAGTGCTCTGAGGAATATCACCTCTTTACTGAAGCCAGGAGGCCATCAGGTGATTATTGGAGTACCTGAAGTTAGCTATTATAAAGTTGTCCAGTAGACTTTCATCTGCCTGCCCCTGAATGCATAGACAGTGAGAGGCACTGTAGAAGATGCTGGTTATACCATTAAGGAGATGGAGTGTTCTTGATTCATGACGTGGCTTCACATTTCCACATTACTGATAGCTACGGAATTTTTCTGGGGTCTTATTTGGTACTTATAAACTAAACTTCACAGCCTTTTTAATGCATGATCATTCCTGACACTTTAAAAAAAAAAAAAACTCTTACCCCCTTTAAATTAGTATAAAATATTCCTTTTTCCAGCGCTGGCTCCACCCAAAGGGTCATCCCAGCCAATCCAATGCTTTCCAGTAGCATCGGGAGGCTCTTATGCTAACTGCACCAATCAGCTCTGAAATAGCAGTGTATACATTAAAATGCCTGCAATGACAGGCTACAACCACCAAAACAACTACATTAAGCTACAATTAGTGACTATAAGTTTAGTGTCCCTTTAAGCTAGATCCTCATCACATATACAATGCTAAATTAACCCCTTAAGGACTGAGGCAATTGTACATGTCTTGATCAAAGCAAAACCTGTAATCTTAATGGCAATAATACAGTAGAACAAATGACAACTAGTCTCCTCTACTTCGTAAACAGTTATTGGTCTATTTAATTGGGTCAATTGGTCCAGCGTCAGAGAGGGTAATGTTTTATTGTGGAGGTATTCCTAAATTTGTGTGTTGGTGCTTTGTGTGGGAAGATTGTATAATCTCTGGTAGTATTCGATAACGGCCTGGACTACAGCTTTAGGCGACAAAAGAGTCTCTTGATCTCTTATAATTTTGGTAATAGTTTTATTAGCTCATCTTACTTTGACTTTTTCGATAGCAATTTGTCTTCCTTGTTACCTTTGTAATAATAAGTTGTTCTCAAAATTGAGATTTTTATTTGTTTTGTTTATTAACTGATCATTAATTTTAGTTTCTACTTCCTTTATTTTCCAACTTGCATCCTAGGATGGGGAGATCTTATTAGCATTACCCAATTCCGCTAATTTGATATAGAGCTCCCCCAGGGATTCCTCTCTTTTTTTCCTAATTTGAGTGTTTTTTTATCAGCTGTCCTCTGATACCACATTTTAGTGCGCACCATTTTGTAGTGATGGAGACTCCACACTCTTTATTATCATCATAGTATAGCTATATTGATTCTGCTATATGTTTCCTGTTTACCTCTGGCAAGAGCACACTATCATGTAGTTTCCACTCTGGTCTCTGCCTAACAAACTGTTGGTTTAGTTCTATTGTTACTGCATCATAATCAGACATGGGATTATCATTATCGCTGAGGACCACGTCCTGGCCAGCACCCCAGATCTATTCGTGAATATGGACAATGGGACTTAGAGAAGCAAGTGAAGTCTTTCACTTTAGGGTGAAAAGTCCTTCAGGTATCTAATAAGGATGATCTTAGCACTATTTGACGTCATTTGCTAGCTTTGGTTGATAAGATTTTTATCAGTCCTTTTCATAACTCTTGTTTTTTTATCAAGCAGAGGGTCCTGGATACAGTTGAAGGCCCAAGCGATAATAACGGATCCCTGCCTAATCTTGTCCAGTCTAGACATAAATTTAGCTATGAAACTAATTGAAGAATGATTTGGTGCATAAATATTTGCTATAGTATAGATAATCTTGTTTAGCTCACAGATAAAAATAATCCACCTTCCTTACATAGTTATATAGTTACATAGTTACATAGCTGAAAAGAGACTTGCGTCCATCAAGTTCAGCCTTCCTCACATAGGTTTTTGCTGTTGATCCAAAAGAAGGCAAAAAACCTAGTCTGAAGCACTTCCAATTTTGCGACAAACTAGGAAAAAATTCCTTCTTGACCCCAAAATAGCAGTCAGATGTCTCCTTGGATCAAGCAGCTATTACCCCACTTAGTAGAAATGTTAAGTTTTTGTAAGTATTTATCCAATTGCAGTTTAAACATCTGTATGAACTCTGAAAAAAACACCCCTTCAGGCAAATAATTCCATATCCTTATAGCTCTAACTGTAAAAAAAAACATTTCTTTGCCTTAGATGAAATCTCCTTTCTTCCAGCCTAAATGTGTGACCTTGTGTCCTGTGTATAGCAGTGTTTATGAATAGGTTTCCAGATGGTTTGTACTGGCCTAATACAAAATATTTTTGT